ATATCACGTGAATTTTAAAAAAAAAAAAAAAACATATAGACATAATTTTCCATGGCTAGTTTTCCCTACTATGATTTAATTAAGTGCGTGTACATTCTTTTTACTCCCCATAATTATCATTTTTTGTACTGAAAGTTTGTCATAAATCCAATACTAATAGTGGAAAAATCATCAAGATTGCTGATGTTTTTCACCCTCTATATATGTAACCTAACTTTACTGCATTTCAGTCATTTAACAAAACCAAATAAATTTGTTTCTTACTCTTTTTATTCTTCTTACAATGTTTCACTTTCCATCTGGTCTCTTAATTACTCTATTTCTTATTGCTACTCAATATGCAAGCAATGTTAATGCAGATGAAATTCCCTTTAACCAGACATATTATCAGATATGGGGAGGTAACCATCTAACAATTTCTAACGAGGGAAAAGAAGTTCAGCTATTTATTGACCAATATTCAGGTTCACTCTAATATCTCTAATTACAGCCTTATATTGTGTCAAATTCATCTCCATACGCGGTAGTATAACAATATGATTATTTGCTTCAGGTGCTGGATTTAGTTCAAAACAAAATTTTGGGTCTGGAGATTTTCGGATCAAGTTAAAGTTACCAAAGAAAAATAGTAAAGGAGTTATAACAACATTCTATGTAAGATCTTATACTTTCTTAACATCTAAATATGATATACACTTTGTAACGTTTTTCTACTTTGCAATGATTTTATATAAATTTTTATAAATTGGATGATATTAAATAAATTTTCATGGTGCATAGCCAATTCTAAACATGTCATTAAATTTGACCTATTAGTTGAAAAGAAGTATAACACATCACACATATGTATATACTATACAACAACAATAAATGCAGTATAATCCGAATACGTGGGGTACAGGGATGATAGATAGTACACGACCTTACCCCTATAGTGAATGTAGAGAGGCTATTTCCAGTAGACCCTCGACACGAGAAAAAATGAGATGTATATACTATAAAGGAGTAAATAAGACATTTGTTTGATTTAGTTGTGCACTTTAAATTTGACTAAACTAGAATATATAAGTTTAACTACAATACTAAGGAGATATATAGTAGCAATTGTGTTTGTTTAATCCATTGGTATTTGGTTGTTTAATTTGCAGTTAATGTCAAAGGAAGTTGATGAACCAGCAAGACCCAAACATGATGAGGTTGATTTTGAGTTCTTTGGAGGAGATGGAAAATATACATTAAATACAAATATCTTTGCGAATGATGAAGGGCATAGGGAGCAACAGTTTAATCTCTGGTTTGATCCTGCAGCTGATTTTCACACATATGGAATTCTATGGAATCAGTATCAAATTGTGTAAGTAACAAACTCATTTAATTTTTTTTTTAAAAAATTATAATTTTTTTAAAATTAATTTGTACCTTGATAGCAAGAAATTTTGCTGATATAGTTGTCTAAACCTGAACAATGACATATATAAATGGGATTAGGTATATCTCCTTAATTAAGTACCATCATACGTGCCCGATGATTTGATATATTGAACTAGTATAATGTTCCATTTAAAACAATTATGTATCATCTACAATTCTTTTGAGAAAATAATCCAAATGAAACAATACTATATATAGATAAAAATGAGCTCAACAACCAAACGAAATGGGAGAAAGTTTGATTACAGACGCCTTCCCTGAGGATTTCGTATAGTTAAAAAATTGAGCATCTTACCTCGAACTTTAAGGTAATCGATGAAGTTAACGTATGACATAAAGTCAGTAAGCTTAAAATGAATACGATTCATGCATTATGTACACACGTTCTTTATTTCTTTATCGTCTCACGTATTATACGTATACCATTTGTACTCAATTATCCTTCGCCCATGATAGACATTACTTCTGGCCACCTAGTTCATACGACATGGATAAAAAATAATCATCTATCAAGTGACTTATACTATGTGTTATATCTCGATTAATATTTTAATTTCTATCAAATTTGAAACTATCTGTAGTAAAAAAGAAAATAATAACAGTTTTTCACTTAATTCTCTAAGGTTCTTTGTGGATGATATTCCCATAAGAGTTTTCAAGAACAATACTAATCATGGAGTGAACTATCCAACAAACAAAATGCACATAGAAGCAACAATATGGAATGCAACAGCTTGGGTTGGAGAAGTTGACTGGAGCCAAGGACCCTTCACAGCTTATTTTCGCGAATTTTCAATTAATGGATGCCAATATCAACAATCAAACCCTCAATACTGCTACAGAAATAGCTATTATTGGAATAGAATCAATTACTGGAAGCTTAGCCCAAAACAACAGCAGCTATACGAAGTTGTGAGGGAAAAGCAAATGACCTATGACTATTGCCTACGGAACGCCAAGGATTTTCCAGAATGCTAACTCGATGATCATATTGTAATCTAAATCGAAGTATTTTGAGTTGGGATCGAAATAACATGGTCCATGCGAAATCCAACAAATACAACTTTAATGACATAAATTAGACATAAGCAAACATATCAAAAGAGACTATCAGTTTAAAAGTAGTTTGGTCAATTGACCTACATATAATAAAATAAATATTGAAAAATAAAAAATTTATTAAAAGTAAGATCTCCCCTAAACAAGACTCTTTTAATGACTACATTATGGATGTTGTTTTTGTTGTTGTGAGACGCAGAGATTCTCAATTTATAGATGTTCAAGACTTTTCCTCCAAAAAAGGATAAAGCATATGAAGGAGATTTATTACTTTAGGAGTATTTTTCCCTTCCTTCAAAATAGAGAGTCCTAATATGTTAGAAATTTATGGCAAAATCCTAACAATTTCTCCCTTGGCCTGAATTTTCTTGACAAAGCTCGGTTCGCGTTCTTCACATAATTTTCATCATTACTGCTTGTCATGGTTAAAAGTAGGCATGAGTTTAAAATTGGAGCTCATGCGTTAAAAGTAAGCATGAGTTAAAATCAATTTATTTTTAAAGATGTAGTAGCAAGAATATTGCAGTTATGGTTTGAAAGTTTGTTGTCCACATGTAGTCCGCCGGACACTTTTTTTTGGGATAAAAATCTTCATTATCGTCCAATTGGGTGCATCTTGATTTGAACCCGTCTCCAACCTTGTTCAACCATTGGATCCGATACCATTTGTTGGAATTGAAATAATATGGTGTATATGGAAGCCAACAAAGACAACTTTGATGACGATAAATTAGGCATAAACAAATATATCAAAAGAGAGTATCATTGAAAAGTAGTTTGGTCAATTGACTTACATATAATAAAGCTAATTTTTTTTTAAAAAAAAACTATTGAGAGTAAAATCTCTCCTAAACTAGACTCTTTTAATGGCTACATTAAGGATGTTGTTGTTGTTGTTGGGAGAAGCCGAGATCCTCAATTATAGATGTCCAATACTAATTTTCCTCCAAGAAAAGATTAGGCATAAGAAGGGGATTTATTCTTTTTAGGAGTCTTTTTTCTTTTTCTTCAAAAAAGAGAGTCCTAATAGGTTAGAAAATCATTAAAAATCCTAAAAATTCTCCCATTGGTCTGAATTTTCTTGAAAAAGCCCGGTCCGCGTTCTTCACATATTTTTCATCACTACTATACTTGCCATGGTTAAAAGTAGGTATGGGTTGAAAATTGGAGTTCATGCATTAAAAGTAAGAATAGTTAAAATCAATCTATTTTTAAAGATGCAGCAGCAAGAATATTGCAATTATAGTTGAAAATTTGTTCTCCAAATATAGCCCTCCGGACAATTTTTTTAAGGGAATGAAAATCTTCATTATCGTCAAATTGGTTGCATCTGGATTTGAACCCGTCTTCAACCTCGTTCGACCATTGGATCTGATACCACTTGTTGGGACCAAAATAACATTGTGCATGTGAAAACCAACAAAGACAACTTTGATGACGATAAATCAGGAATAAACAAACATATCAAAACACTACTAGAAATCCGGAAAATACCGACCAAAATTTGGCAACCAAAATTAGTATGTCAAGAAAAGCGACCAACGTTGGTCGCTAAATTGGAGAAAATAATAACATAATTATTCTAAATACATTAGCGACCAAGGTTGGTCGCTTTTTGGTCGATAATTTGGTCAAATTGTTGACCGGACTGGTCAGACTTGCTTGGTCAAAGAAATACTGAAATTAGCGACCAACTTTGATCGCTAAAGTGGGACCCACTTATAAAATTTCAATAATTATATTATTATTTAAGAAAAATTATAAAATATAAATAAATATAATTTAAAATTAGCGACTAAAGTTAGTCGCTAACGAAAGGGGAAGCAGATAGAGACCAACTTTGGTCGCTAATCTGTGACCCAGTTATAAAATTTTATTAATTATATTATTATTAAAAAAAATTATAAAATATAAATAAATTTAATTCAAAGTTAGCGACCAAAGTTGGCCGCTTACTAAAGGAGAAATAGATAGAGACCAACTTTGGTCGCTAATCTGGGACCCAATTCTAACAATATATTATTATTATTTTAAATATTATATAAAGTATAAATAAATCTGATTTAAATTTAGCGACCAACTTTGGTCGCTAATTTTAATTTTTTGGATATTGGTCGCTAATTTGAAATTCTAGATAATTAGCGACCAAAGTTGGTCTCTTTTCAGGTCAACATTGGTCAAAATTAAAAAT